CTTAGAGTGACTTCCTCTGAGCCATCTCCACCTTGTCATTGCGAGGGCAGATGGAGGATGATGGGGGACAAGTGAGAAATGAGGGAAGGATTGCAACTGGTCCTTTACCCCTTTCACTACTAGGAATAAGAGCAATGCCTACCCTCCCCATCCTTATGGGGTGACTTTGGCTGTGGGCTGGAGAGCTGTGGGGCCATCCTTCTCTGGATTCATGGAAGTCTTCACCTTTGGTCCAACACAGAAGCAAACCCATAGGAACCCTGCATGCTTAGAAACCTTCTGTCTGCAGAGGCCATCTACATACACCCCTTAGCTCCATTCTCCAATGCAGATCGTTATTTCTCCCTAACAGGATACTTACAAGTGTGTTTTCATTCTGTTGGGGAGTGTTGGGGCGGGGGGGGGTATGTGACATTGTCCCCAAGGGGGCAAAAATTAGTGCTTTGGAGGGTTTAAAAAAAAAAAACTTAAGTTTTCACAATAGTTTGTGGCTTTCTAAAAGGTCACAGTCCATAAACAGCTCTATAATGTGACTGTGGTATTAAAATATCATGGCAGAGGTGTGGGCAATCGTTTATTAAAAAGTCTAGTCTCATTAGGGGAGAGAGAATGGGAAAAGGGTAGAGAAACATTTACCTGTGCAAGCCCCCCTTAGGCTTAGTTGTTATGAAATGCCACTCTACCAATCAGTCTGGGTAGTCCTCTGGAAAGAATAGGGCAGAGAGAATTCCTCTTTAAGGATCAGGGTACAGGGTCTCTGTTCCACTCAGGAAGAAAAGAGAAAGTGGTAAGGACCAGGCAGGTGTGGCTTCATGGGCAGCCAAGGTCCCTTAGTCAGGGCCTGGGGTCAGAGCAAGAGCCTGTCCCTGAAGCCTTGCCCCTTGGGGAAAGGAAATGGATCCCACTCACACCTCTGATGGTCCTAGACTCCCCTTGACCAAATAGGTGACTCCAAAGCTTGGAAGAAGAGTTCAAGAGGCACAGAAAAATCTGGCACCTGTGTAAGCAAACTTTTTACCTGAGTTAGAGAGGACCAGTAATGGACATTCCTAGAGGAGCTGAAAAACCTATTTCTTCTATTGGAGAACGACTTCTGCTGTGGGGGCTATGCAGATCCCTTCTACCAGGAAGTCTAAATACCCCAAGAAAACAGTCCAACAGGATAAGGAGCAGCTCAGGCAGCCCCTCGGGTTTGCTGCAGCTCTCACCACTCCTTATTTTACAGAAGTTTCCTTTTGTTTTATTAATAAAAGCTGTCGGTTTTTTTTCCTCTAAATTGGGCCGCGATGGTTGGTATTTGGGATGGATTTTTCAGACTCCAGTTACCAGTATCATCAGCTCAACCTACTGTCACCTATTGAGGACAGCTGACTTCCCCTCCAAAGAGAATAACATAAAATACTCTTAGGCATGAAAACAAGGTCTAAGGTTTCTGTTGATTGTATATCAACCCAGTGTGACTCTATATCAGCCTGTTCTGATGACTTCAGATCTGGAATAAGATGTAGTTGTTTCCTTCTCCAAAGGATACACCCCCACCCCACCCCAAAATATACATATATGCCCTGTGCAGCGGATCTGGATCCACAAAGTCAGGAGACTTAAGACACACTTAATGTTACATTTTCAAATAACAGCAGTATGGTCTGATTCATTTTGGTCTGCTACCCATGTCTAAAAAGTCTGAGAACAGGACAGAGTGTATTTGCTGATCCATTGTTCAAACTTTAGGTTTATCAACTGAACAGATATATCTGGTCCAGAAGGTAAGGGAAATAAAATTGAACATATTACTTGAAAATGTAAACTAACACATGCCAGGAGTGATGGAGCACACCCGTAAACCCAGCAACTCTGGAGGCTGAGGCAGAGGAACACAGAATTGAGGCCAGCTTTGGCAATTTATTGAAATCCTGTCTCAAAATTAAAAAATAAAAATGGCTTGGGATGTAGCTCAGTGGTAAAAAGCATCCCTGGGTTCAATTCCCAGTACTGAGAGGGAAAAAAAAGTTTATCCTGTGTTCCCTGACTTTGAGGACACCTTTTATATTACACACAAACTGTAGGATTTACCACTATTCAAGGATGTGGACTCTTAAGTGCTTTATGTGTTTAATTTTGCAGTGTTGGGGGATCAAATCCATGGCCTTCTGCATACTAGGCAAGTGCTCTACCATTGAGCTACACCCTAGCTACATCTGGGCACTTTATATATGTTAACTTTGCACAAGAACCTGTGAGTTTAGAATAGTATCCCTATCTTGTGGATTAAGAAATGGAGGCTCAAAATAGAGGTTGTAAAAAAAAAAAAAATGCCAGCAGAGATCATGTTAACAATTAAAATAAGAGGCACTGGCCCACAAATAAATGATTAGTTCAAACTGATTGTTGCTAGACAGAAATTCAGGTCCCATCTTGCCAGATTTTTAAAATTTTCCACCGAAGCCAGATTTCTAGATTTGTGCTGAAATCCTGATTTTTAGACATTGGTAACTAATTAAATTTTTATACACTCTGTATTGGCCAGGCCAAACAAATCCACAAGCAAATTCAGCAACAAACCTCTAGTTTGCAAACTCCGAGTTAAAGTAATTTGCTTAGGGTCTTACAACTACGAAATAGAAGGACAAGTCACAACCCAATTCAGCTAACCACAACTCTCCTTCCTCTCAGGACACTGTGCAGGGAGCTACACCGAAAAGATTGAAAATTTGTTGAAAAACTTTAACTTCTAAAGTTGCTGGTCTACTATGGAAGCAGCAGCTGTAGGAGGCTCTATAAGGAAGTGAGCAAGCACAGGGATTCTCAAGGGAGTGTCGAGCAGTACTGAGCAAGGGGGTGTGGCTGGGATTCTAGCTCTTAAACCTTCACAGAATGCAGACATTTTAAATGCTATCTCTGTCCACCTTCTGGATTTAACTACCAGAAGAAAAGAAAATCAGGAAGTTCTTTTTTCCCCACCCAGAAGTGGATTTAACTTGAAGCTGTTATCTGAAACTTCCAAATGAAGGAAACCTCCTCTACAAGTCTCTTAATAGTCCTGCTTCTGGTAACATTTACAGAGGCTGAGGATTTTATCCAACCATGTGCTAGGATATCAGATTCCCCCCCCCCCCCCCCCCCAAAAAAAAAAAACACATAAATAAGACACACTAGCATTCAGCATATCACTAGTTTAAAAGACTGTAGCACTTAAAATGGGATGAACATTTGCCTTCATTTTCCTCTCTGGACTGTGTAAAAGGTTCTCCTGAAAACAGCTGAGCCGACTTGCCTTATGGAGAATTAAAGAGCAGCACGCATGCACGCACACATAAGCAGCCATTTCTATAAATGCTTAAGAAAAGCACTGAGCCGAATGGCCCAGAACCCTGGAAATCCTATTCCTGAGTCTGACAGACTCTAGCTCACAGAGGCATTGCGGACCTTCACAGCTGCACAACTGGACAGCTCCCTGAAGGAGAAAATGTCTTTGCTCAAGGTGGCAGTGGGTGTCTATGTGAACAACTGAACTCCGGGAACATGGCTGACATGGCCAGACCCGCCCAACAGCTGCCAGTGAGTAACACCCTGGTGGATACACCCCTACTTCACCCCCAGAGCCACGCTAAAGGTCACAACCCCCAATGCAGGCACATGCCTTTTATCAACTTTACAGATAGAAACTTTAAAAGGTGCTGTTTTATGGCAACCTAGATGCTGACCCTAAACAGGACCTAATTTTGCATTAACCAGAGAAGAAATTCAGACTTATTCCTGTGCCAGCAGCCACCTCCACAAGAATCACTTTCCTAAGGAAACAAATTGAGAGGCAGTTACATAGCCTTTCTTTTAAAAACCAAAAGCAAAAGTAAAGCAAAACGGAAAATCCCAACAAAGTATCATTTTGAAACCCAAAGGCCCAGGGTCAATTCTTCAAAGTATCAACCCTTTACACCAAAAAGCTACCTTTCCAAGCAACTCCAACAACCTCTTAAACATGGCGTCTTTAGGACAAGAGGGAAAAGCTGTTGAGGACCAACCCCCCACCACCACCTTATCAGAACAGCAGTTAGAGAAGAACCTTTCTAAAGATGGTCAGGATGTCGAAATGCTTTCCACCTTTTTCAGTGCATGTTAAATAGAACCAACAGAACTGGCTAACCAAGGTCCCTACAAGTCTCCAAAAGCCCAGCTTATACAGCAAATGTCTTTGCAGTCACATTCATTTGTCCAGCTTTGCTGCTTGTTCTCCCGAGAGCGAGTCGACCTGGCAGCCTCCAGAGCCGCCCAACATTCACTACAGAGCCTTGACCTCGGGCAAGGACCACACCTCACTAACCACGGTATTCAGGGGTGGAGGGCACGTCCCCAGTCACAGGGGGGAAAAAATCAGCTCTGTAATTTCGCTCACTGAGAAGGTTAACTAGTGATGAAATTAACCCACCAACCACTACTTGATCAAACTCCTCTGCTGCCTGAAGCAGTGTCATTTTAAACCTCTCAAGGGAACTCTAGGCCAAATTTAAAACCACCTTGGCGAACCCTGAAAAGTAGCAGGCATCCAGCTAAGTGAGTCCTTAGTCATCCCTAAATGTGCAGCTTCCCCCCACGTTTCGTCCACTTCGCTGCGACCCCACAACGGAATGAAATTAAAGATACGCCATCTGACTTTCCTACCGCCAGCGTCTACACAGCTGGGGTGGCCCCACCAAGGCTGGGTGCGGAGTCCCGGGGGCGGGGCGGGCCAGGGGCGGGGCGGGCCCCGATCCCCGCCAAGCCACGCAAAGCACTCGCTCTGCCCGCCAGTGTAAGGCTCTCCGTGGCTTCTGGACGCCAGAGACAATTAAGGAGAGAGTGAGCTTTCCACGTCTGCACGACTAAATTATTAAAGAGTTAAACAGCATCTTATCCAAAATGTTCGCACCCTCGAAGCCGAGTGCGGTGTCCTGAACGCCAAGGTACACTGCCTGGCCAAAGGTTAACCCCAGAGCGCGGGGGGAAAGGACGAAGCTGCTAACCTGTATGCACTCTGTAATGGGCTTTGAGATGGGAGGATTTTCCATAGACTTTCCCACAGCCACTGTAGGGGCACTTGTGCCTCTTTTCGGAGGCGTGTTTCCCTTTCGCAGCCACTCCAGGGTGGAGGAGGGAGAGCGGGCTGGGCGCGCTGCCAGGATCCTGTCTCTCCTCCGGGCTGTGGGAAGGACTCGACCCAGATTCGGTGGTCACGTCGCTGTCGGATCCCATATCCTCATCAGGACTCTCCAGACTGTCGCTGCACACCGATGGGGTCTGAATGGGTCGGTACTTGTTCAGATCCAACAAGCTCTTGGCAATGGTGACCAGCGTGCAGTAATCCTTCCAGGTGTCCCCCGGGTCACCGTGTTCCTTGGTCACCTCGCGCTCAGGTAGTCGCAGCCGCTCGGTTTCTGGAGCGCCCCCATGCTCCGACACCGCAGCGCGGTTCGAAATGGAAACCAGACACTGGGCAGCCACAAAGTCCATGTAGGCGGCCGCGGACATGGTGCGGGAGACAGCAGCCTCGGAGGCGCGGTCAAAGTTGGCGGTGGCTGCGGAGGTTCGGCTCTGGCTGCCCTGGCCTCGGACGACTAGCGCGGCGCGGCGCGGCGCGGCGGCCAAGGGGGCGGGGGCGCCGGGCGCTTCCGACTCGCTAGAGCGCCGAGGCGACCTCAGCCCCTCATCTTTACGTAACCGTCAGCGCCTCCGCACGCAGCATCCACGGCCCGGGTCTCCGCCGTGCCGCTGCCTCTCGCCACTGTCCCTGCCCTTCTCCGGGCGCGATCTCCACGACAGGCGCCCCGGCCCCTCTAAGCCGGCTCCCTTGGAAAGATGCCACACGTGGCGGTCGCAAGTTTAAACGACTGAAAACGCCCCCGAGGCGCTGGGAGAGGAAACTGCAAGAGAAGCACACGCCCTCGGCCGCCTCACCGTCGAGCCAAAGCCCTTAGACATTCACCCCACCACCCCGACGCGGGTGGCAAGGACCGGACCGAGCGAAAGGTCTAAGACACACTTTTCCCCCAGTCCACTGACGGCTTCTGAGCCCCTGCTCTGGCCGGTCCGCACCGTTCCGGCATTCTCTCGCTCAGTAACAATTTCGCAGAATCCCATCACGTCACAATCCAAACCCCCTCCAATTGGCCAGTGGGGAGGGTGATTCAACTCTGTTTACTTTCTCCCCCTGCCAGTCAGAACGGCCTTTCGGTGGAGAGGTGCGTCTAGAACTGAGGCGTGCGGCCAATCCGACTGTTCCGTTCCACTGCCTCGTGCTACCCCTACAGTCTCGAACGCTGACATTTAAAAGGGTAACGGCCGGGAGGCAGGGAAGAAGCGGCCGCTCATCCTTGGGAGTGCTGCGGGGTCCGACAGCCGGTCCAGGCCTCCTGGCTCACCGGCCAGTTTGCAGAGCTTCGGGACACTTCCTCCCTAGTCAGTTGCACCCGTCCTGTGACAAAAGACAACTTCAGTTTTGGTTTTCCAGCCTGCAAACAGTTAAGTGACTTCCTGCAAACGCTACAGTCCCAGCAACCAGCCTTCCAATCAAAAGTAAGTTGGTTGATGTCACTGGCATTCGCTCAGCCAATCAGAAGGACGTTCCGAAAGCAAGCGCTCGACACTTGTAAACGCGCAGAGCTGTAGTGAAACTGGACACATCTTTGTATTTTGTGTTGCTGGTAGTGAAGTTGAGCTATAGATGGGAGGACAGTGATGAGTAAGTGCAGTGTGAGTCTATAATTCTTTTAAAGCCCTCAATATGTCAGGACAAATTGTCCAAGAATAAACACAAATGAGAAAGCATCAATTCATTTTTTTTTTCATTTTTGTTTTTTGGATGCAGCCTACTTTGGAGCAATTGTTTAAAAAGTCTCCCATCCAATACATTAATTATAAGCAATTCATACTTAAAAAAAAAAAACAGCTAACAAAAGTTCTTGTTTTAAAACATGGACTTTGTCCAGATTGAAACACTCCATTTTTGTTTTTTGCCCTGTCTCACTACTTCTATTTTTCTGGTGCAAGTTAGTCTAAGTAAAGCTTTTTTTGTTTTTTGAGTCCCTGGCCTTGTGCATGATAGAGAAGTGCTGTACCCATTGAGCCATTTCCTTATCCCTTTAGTATTGTTTTGCAACTATTTTAACCCACCTTCACATAAATGGAGACCCCCCCCAAAAAAAAAAATCCCTAATTTGTACTTAAAAAAAAAAACACCATTTTCTCTCCAGAGATCCTGGCATGATTGTTAGGGCCTGTTTCCTTTCCTTTACTTTAGAAATGTGAAGACTGACTCAGAGAAGGTAGACAATGACAGATTTTAACAGAACTAAAATATCAATCTCCTGATTATGGTTCTTTCTGCTTCACCAACTGAATCCTTTGGTTTGTGAAACATTAACTGTGCTAAACAGAGTCTTAGGAACTGGAACCAGCCAGAAATCCTTAGCATTGAATACTGTGGCATTACTTGATCAACAATTAGTGTGGGTCTTAGAGTCTGATTAACTCAGTTTGCTTCTCCCCCTCATGAATGTGGGGTTGTTTTCCATCTTGATAGCAGTGAAAAGAATCTAAGGCTAGTGTCTCTTGCAGGAGGCATCCTGTCAACACAATTGATTAAAAATACATTTACTTTCCTGCCTGTGAGAGGTACCTGTTTCTATGTGATGCAGATTCAGTGAGATCCAACTCTGAATCTCACTGGCTGTTAAACTTTGTTAACAAAGTTTGAGAAAGTTACGCCAGGTTCTTGGTCTCCAAATGAAAGGTCTCAAATTAACCCTTCCAATTTGCAGACTAGGGTAGTTTATTGTTTATTTTTAATTTTTTTCATGGCATAGTATTCTTTTCATTTTTTAAACTTTATTTTACATTTTGAAATCCTGAGGATTTAACCCAGGAGCTTTCTACCATTGAGCTAGACTATACCACTAGTCCTTTTCTTTTCTTTAATTTTTATTTTCAGAGAGGGTCACACTAAATTGTCCGGGCTGGCCTTCAACTTGCAATCCTCCTGCCTCAGTATCCAGAGTAGCTGTGATTAAAAGCATGGGCCATCAGGCCTGGCAAGGAGAGTTTATTTTTGCTTTTAAAGTGGTACAGGAGCTGGGCATGGTGGTGCAAACCTGTAATCCCAGCAATTTAGGAGTCTGAGTCAGGAAGATTGCAAGTTCCAGGCCAGCCTCAGGAATTTAGTGAGGACTGAGCAGCTTAAGGAGACCCTGTCTCAAAATAAAAAATAAAAAGCACTCGCGACCCAGGTGTGGTGGTGCATGCCTGTAATCCCAGTGGCAATGGGAGGCTGAGGCAGAAGGATCATGAGTTCAAAGCCAGCCTCAACATTTAGGAATGCACTTAGCAATTCAGTGAGACCCTGTCTCAAAATAAAATACAAAAAAAAAAAAGGGGCTGGTATGTGGCCCAGTGGTTAAGCACCCCTGGGTTCAATTTCCAGTACAAAAAAAAAATTCCCACAAGTCAAAAAACACTGGGTATGTTGTATAGTGGTAAACACCCTGGGTTCAATCTTTAGTACCAAAAATTTAAAAATTAAAAAAAGTGGGGCTGGGATTGTGGCTCAGCGGTAGAGTGTTTGCCTAGCATGGGCGGGACCCGGGTTCAATTCTCAGCACCACATAAAAATAAAGGCATTGTGTTGTGTCCATCTACACCTAAGAAATATTTAAAAAAAAAAAAAAAAGGCTGGGGATGTGGCTCAAGCGGTAAAGCACTTGCCTGGCATGCGTGCGGCCCGGGTTCGATCCTCAGCACCACATACAAACAAAGATGTTGTGTCCACTGAAAACTAAAAAAATAAATATTAAAAAAAAAAAGTGACATAGGGAGGACATTGCAGTAGGTGATCACATGGTGAAGCAACATGTAGAAATATGATGCTGGTCAACCAAGAGCATTATCACCATCACCAGAATTATTCCAACCCCTTTCATGGAGGGCTTGTTCTGTGCCAGGCCCAGTACCAAACACCTGATGTGTATCCTTCCAACAACCCCAAGAGGTAAGGATATCATGGTTTGCTAAAGTGAAGCCATCATGGAGTTTTTACAGTCTAATCCCCTTAATTTTAGACATAAATTCACTGAAGCCCAAGGGAGTTTGCCTACTTCATGATTTTTCTGGGACAAACTTTGTCCCCTAGGATACATGATTACTTAGAAATTATATTTTTGCTAGGTAAATTGGCCCAAGCCTAAAATCCCAGCAACTAGGTAGGCTGAGGCAGGAGGATGCAAGTTCAAAACCAGTCTGGGCAATTTAGGGAGACTCTGTCTCAAAAACCAAACCAAACCAAACAAAAAGACCTGGGGATATAGCTCAGAGACAGAGTGAGTGCTCCTGGGTTCAATCTCCAGTAACACACACAAACAAGAAAGACAGAAATTGCATCTTGCTTCTTTGAGGCCCAACAAAAATACCAATGGGATCTCTTCAGGATCCTTATGATCAGGGTCCACACCGCCCCCCAGACGAGTATTTATCTGACATCTCACTAGTGAAGTAGATGCCACCTCAGGCTTGGGCCTGGTCGACTATAGATAGCTATAGGATTAACATCAGCATATTCCAGAAAAGTAAAGTCTGTATTTTTCCTTAAAGATTGTGATCCAGGAATTTGAATATAACAATCACCTTAGGGTTTTTGTTTGTTTGTTTTTTAGTACTAGGGATTTAACCCAGAGGCACTTTACCACTGAGCTACATCCCAGCCCCTACTCTCCAGCCCCTTTAAATTTTATAATCGAGACAGGGTCTCAGTAAGTTGCTAAAACCCCCCTCAAACTTGTGATTCTCCTGCCTCAGTCTCCTAAATTGCTGGGATTATAGGTGTGCATCACTATGCCTGGCAATCACCTTAGGTATTAAATATATATAAACTTTTCCTTGTTTACACTTTTCTCCTTAATTCTCACTAATTTCACTTTGTTTGCACTGAACATAAACCCTGAAGTCCCTGATTTACTCATTTCAGAGTTATAAAATAAGCTAATAAAAATTTCATCTATATGAATTCCTTTTACACATTTACAAACATAATTGTTGCTTGACTTGATTAAGAGAACAGTGAGCTAGACATGAGGAATGCAAAAAAGAGTATTTTCCATGGGACTTACACATTAAAAAACAGTTATATTTAAAATAACATCACAAATAATTTCTACATCAGAATTTTTTTCTTACATTTTCAACAATGAAGTTTCCTTGCTGTGTTGGAATGTATTAAAATAGTTTTATAATTTTTTTGTACTAAGAATTGAACCCAGGGGCACTTAAACATTGAGTCCTTTTTATTTTTTATTTTGAGATAGTCTTGCTAAGTTGCTTAGGGCCTCACCTAGTTGCTGAGCCTGGCTTTGAACTTATGATCCTTCTGCCTCAGCTTCCAGAGCCACTGGGATTACAGGCACGAGCCACATACCCAGCCTAGTTTTATGATTAAAAACAGTTTATGTTGTTTTACTAGCATGTGGCTATCTCAGTTGTTTTGGGGAAATATCCTTAATTAATATGAATCATTCTTAATTAAAACAAATAATTTTCCAGTAATGTATACATCATAAATATGAGATGTTTTTCCTTCCAAATTAATCTTTACAAATATACATTTCAAATCCACATACACCAACTGGAAGAAGCAAGAAAATTCAGACTGTGCTTCTAGTTTATGCGTTTTTCTTTCTACATTCTGCTTAAGTCTTGCTTTATTATCCAAATTCTGAAAATGAAGCCTTATGAGCCTGTAGCCAGAACTATGAGCCTTTTTTGTGTGTGCATTCTAAAATAATTGTCATTTTCATCTGCTAATAAGAGATAGTGCCTACAGTGTATGTACACCTTCCCACATGTGTCGCCAGTTAGGGGTACTGACCTCCTGGGCCTTGGATGAACACTGTGACCTCAGTCAACCTCCCTTGAGCTATTTCCTTAACTGTGAATTGATAGGATTAGATTAATACATCTCCATAGCCCCTTAAACTCCAAATACTCCCAGGGATCTTTGAAAAATCCTAGGGAAAAAACTGGAGCAAGACCTGAGTTATTAAATACCATCTCATCTGCTGTGCACTTACAAACGCTGTTCTTTATAGCAGTGAAGGTCAGAGTATCTTAAATCAATATTTAATGAGATGGCAGGCACAAATATAAATTTGTTCAGAATCTTTAACTTCATGGCTTCTTTTTTCTTTTCTCAAACTGGTTTGTAGAAAGTGGCCTGGAGACTGAAAAAAATCTATTCTTTCACCAAGGTAAGCTTTCCACCCTAACCGGCACAAAGGTTCTTTCCTGGCTGAAGGTTTGAGAGATTCCTGGGCCACGCCCCTGAAGATTTTTTTTTCCAACCCAGACGAGGGCAGGGTTTCCCCACCTTGCTAGGTGGAGCTAATTACCTGGCGTTCAGTTTGACCTGCGTGTTGTGGGGTCTCTTCCCTGCTTAGGGCCCAGAATTCAGGCT